TCAAGTCAAAAGTCTGATAAAAGTTTCAAAGAACACTATTTTTTGAACTTTCGAAGTGCAATAACTCTTAAATGAATCAACGAATAATCGAAAAAAATGTTTTTTTACATAACGTCGACATTTCTTTTGGATTGTTTTTGATGAAATAAAATAATTTTCGGTGTCTAAAAAACCACGTCGATTGTTGCCAAGAACGTGAAGATGGGTTGATTGGTTGATTGATCGGTTTGAAACTTCAACAAATAGTGTTCTTCGAAACTTTTATCAGACTTTTGACTTGAAGAGCTCAAAAATCTCATAAGTTGCAAGGATGGCCTTTGGGGTCAACCGTTTTCCAGATTTTTTTGTGATAAATGAGCGTTATGAGACGTACACTTTTCTGATTTTCCAAACTTATTTTTTCTCTCCGTGTAGAGTAATAAATTGATAATTCCGTGAAACTTTTTAAAAATTTAATTCATTCAACTCGGATCATGATTTTCTTACAGTAAATGAAATAAAGAAGACAAAATTTTTAACATGAGTAATTTTTTTTTTAGTTTTATGGAAATGTTAGCGCATCAGAACTAATTTTACATATAAAAATAATTTTTACGACAGTAATAAATTAATTTGTATCAGTTTAATACTTGAATAATCAAAATTTTATACATTTAAAAGTTCCCTGATTTAAAAAAAGTATTGAACCATGCAACTGTATATCTATATTGTATGTATATTATTTACTTGTATGGTATTGATGTCGCTGTCAGTTTGAGGAAATATTACCCCTGAGTAAGACATTGTTTTTCTTAAAAACAAACTTTGAAGGCATTCGAATCAGCCGTCGCGCTGCAGGCTGACTGCTAGGTAATAGTACTGTTCACAGAGGTCGTTCTATTTGTATGAACATAAGTTCTATATATTTTGCTATATTGGTTTACACCAACGCCTTGTACCAATTTTTTCTAATAAAAAAAAAAAAAAGTTCTATATATTATGTCAGTATGTCAACATCTTCACAGAGTTCGTATAAACCTTGATAGCCAGACCTTCTTACCAACAATTTGGTGTCACTAAGTTGCCATCAACTTAGCGACAACGTGTCGTGAACTTCTGACTTTGAAACTGTTAACAAAAAGTTGGCTACAACTTTCTGAGATACACAACGCCAATCTACTACCGTAACGTATAGCCAAATTTTGTAAGAAACGTGTCAACTTCACAGCAAAAAAGTTCAGAAAAAGTTTATACTGATAAATTGGCGCCAACTGATAAGTTAATTTCCAAATAGTTGCTGTCAACTTGGTGGCAAGTTGCGGCCAACTTGGCTATCGGAGAACTTACTACTAAATGGTAGTCAGTACCTACAGTCGGGTAAACACCATTCTTTTTATACGATAAGTGTTAACAAAATTGTTACAAATTCATAAATACTCATTAACTTTTTAATTTTTTTACCAAATACAATGTGGATTAGATTGGAAATATGGAGGGGAGAAGTAGACGGTTTTCCTTACTTACATCTTCTATAATTTGAAATAATTTATTTAATCAATGAAACGAGGTGTAAACTTCAATGTACAATAAAATGCGTAAAGTAATAAATTTTTCAATAATGAACCGGCAGAATAAAAATCTTGATCGATATAGACTGATATAATAGGTGTCAATAGTGCTCAGAGGACTAACAATCGATGAATTTATAGATAAATTTCGCTTGATATCAGTCTTTTGGTATGTAAAAAGAATAATATCGCAAAAATATACAAAATTACGAATTTCTTGCTTTTGGGGCATCAAGTATCCAAAAAGAACGCCCAACGTGGGGCTCGAACCCACGACCCTGAGATTAAGAGTCTCATGCTCTACCGACTGAGCTAGCCGGGCGACTGAGGTACCCGAGCACTGCGGTTCAATAAGGATTAGAAAACAAACAGACATTACCAATTTCCGAAAAAAAAATTTTTTTTTTTCATTTCTCGAATATTTTTATTTTTTAAGAATTTATTTGATAGCAAAAAAAAATAAAAAACAAATAATTTTGAAGAATGAAAAAAAGCTAAGGTATTGTTTCCTAATATAGGAATATTTATAATATAGGATAAAAGACTATATTAATTTTTAATAAGAGTTCAGCAGAGAACAGCTGTTATGAGCTGGTTTTAACTGATATTGTTTAGTACCTTCCTTGTCTTTACCTAAACGATCTTCATTACAGTTCGACGGTTTGAACGATCCAATATCAGTGAAACTACGATTATAATTATAAACTACAGTACCGGCACACGAAAAAAAAATTATTTGTACATTTGACTGGATTTACCTGCGGGCATGTATATCGATCCGCTGAATCCGAATTTAAAGTCCGTTTGGCCCGGTCAGATTTGAGTAAAATGCAAAAAACCAAAAAAAAAATAAAGGCGAAAAACTACAATCATAGTGATGAAAAAATTTTTAATTACTAAACTAGACAAGATATTGAAATTCGTTAAGTTGCATCGTAAAGCTCTTTTATTAAGCTTCAATTTTCATTCCTCAGAAGTGATAATAGCCTCAATATTATACCTTTTAGAGTTCGTTTAAGGAAAAACAGTTTTACTGTTACAGCCGTTTTTGAATTATTGGCTTTATCATAATATCTACACAATGTAGTTTCAATAATCACGATATTGATCAGTCTTTCGTGTAATATGTTCGAGTAAGTCGTCAATAAAAATGTCACTAAGTAGTTCTAAATATTGTTTTCTTTAATTAAAATTTCATCCGGTTTCAAAATTCTGATTAACTTGGAAACTGTTGTTTCTAAGCAGCTACTCTAAATTTGGACACTGATGATTAATATCTCATAATCTTCAAAATTGTCCGATAAATATTTGAGAAACTTTTTCTTTGCAAGATAATTTTTTGAACAAAATTGGTTCTAACTAGTTTTGAATTTATTATTAAATTTTGTTGTTAATCAATAAATTAAGTTATACATTATTAGTATTAATATTATTTTATTATAAATAAATTTTCTTTATATGAGAAATCTACTTCCATTTCGGCTGCCGGATGGCCTGTTTTTCTATTGTTTTAAGAGTGTGACTTAGAGCGATTTTTTTACCGTAAAACTGTATTTGTTGGGATTTTTATATTTTGATATAATCTTTAAAATTAATGGTATAATAGGAAGGAATTTCAGGGATCGTCTGCCGAGTCACTGATTTTCAGATTTTTAACTTTGACGTTTTAGTAACATGGCATGTCGATTATGGCATGCTTTCCTTATTTTATTTAGTAACTTAGTTGTCACGAAAATGTATTCTTCGATAGTATATATTATATTTATTTATCAACGTATGCATACATAGCCTTACTGGCCTCTATATGTTTACAAATTTTTATTTTAGTGATTATTTTTGCATTCTTGTGGGGATTACGGGTGGGGATTTAAACTCTAAGTATTATCATCAACAGTCTACGCTCAGTATAAAAGAAAACTAAGGGGGTTTTTTTTTTTTGGGGGGGGGGGGTAAATTCCTCTATGGCTCGGCTGGTTGGCATCCACGGCATCCCCGCTGTTGAATGGCCTCCCTGGGTTCATTCTTCCTGGTGTTTCATTTTTACTCTCTGCAGCAAGATCTGGGCGCTGGCTTTTGCCACGGACAAGGCGATGTTAGATAGCATGATGTTAACTCTCCTCTCAGTCATTCCCAGTTTTTTCAAGATCCTCGTACTATTTTTATGTTCTTCAGTGTGTCCAGTACCTCACCTAGTGCCCCAAACACCAAGATGCCCAACTTAGCTGGACACTTGTGCTTTCTCTGGAGCGCATCTATGAGGTTTTCCCCTCGTGGAACCCCCTCCAGGTTGGCCTCGGAGATTTCCATTGTTGAGTTGACCTCGTATCGGACACGTTTGATGCGCTCCTGGAGCCGGATGTTCTGTAAGTGAGATACTGCGACCTCCAGGACGAAGATTTCAGTCGGGTTGGAGAGTGTGATCACCATGTCCGGACGGTTGTGGTGCAGGCTGGTATCTAGTGTGACCCTTGGACCCGCACAGATCTCGACGTTGCGCTCCTCCCACTGGAACTCAGCGACAAGTGAGGCTCGCGCTTTGAAGGCCCTGAGCTTTACATCCTCAGGAGCTCTCATTGCCTCTAGGATGGATCTTATTACCCAACTGACCGCTGTGTCGTGCCTAGCCGGGTGAGTCTGCCTCCCACATGCAGCTATCACGTGGTATGCAGTCTCGATATTCTGACATCCCAGCCGGCATGCTGCCCCTGTAATAGCTCCAAGGCCGTGGACCTGCTCCTCTACAGCTTCCAGGGTTCTCCTGGCAATCCAATCTTCCATCTTGAAGGAATTGAACCCTGGGAATTTTAATGCTGCTTCCTCCTGCACCACCAGTCTCCCGTAGTGCAGGGATCTCCATAGGCGAAGAAGCAAGTCCACCTGCTGTGATGCTACCCACCCTGCCAGCCTGCGGCAGTAGTCGCCAAGCACCTCCTCGGGCAATCTCTCCACTGCTGGTCCCACTACTCCGTAGGTGTCCATCACCCATTCCGCGTCAGTAAGTGGATTTCTCCAGCCTTTGGCAGCCAGCCTCTCGTACTTTTCTCTGGCCATTCCCATCTCCGGATGTGATATCAGGTAGGCCCCCTTCTTCACCATCAGCAACTCGACCTCAAATCTGATGGACTTCAATCCAAGACCTCCCATACATGGTGGAATGTAAGTCGACACCCGCGTCGTCGTGGCACCCTTCAGCTGTTTCTGGATCAGGATCTTCCGGACAAGCTTATTTAGGTCGCTACACTTCTTCAGGGAAGAAGCTCTAGATTCTTGGGAATACATATTCCCAAGTATGTATGTCGCAGCTGGGATGACACAGGTGTTATATAATTTGACCTTTTGTGATACCGCTAGTCCAGAATCCATGATTTTCTCAGTCATATTGATGATCTTCGACTCCACTAGCCCATAGTTTATAGACAGGTCTCGCTCCAGTTGATGGATACCCAGATACTTCTATGAGTCCCTGACTCTTGGAAGGAACAGCATCTCTTCACCCTCATCCAGCACTTCCTCATCCTCCAGGTACACCCGTGTGAATACTCCGCACTTCCTGATGTTTAAGCTGAGCCCTATTTCCGCCCCGCCATCGGTGATGACATCCGCAATACATTTAATGCCCTCTTCTGATGGCGCATGGACCTTGTAGTCATCCATGAAAGCTGACACCTGCTGCTTTCCTCTGAAAATCTTATTTACCTTCTTGTCTTCCCGTACTAGGTAGATTAAGAAAGCCGTGATCAGGATAAACAGGATTGGACTGATGGTATCACCCTGGTAGACCCCTCTCTTGACATAAATTGGCCTAGTCCTGTCTTTCCCGACCTGGATGACTACAGACCAAACCCTGATGGCTGCTTTCAGCGTGTTGGCAATGTTATCATGAATGGGCAGCGCACCGACCAGTCTCAGTAGTTGGAAAATATCAATAGAATCATAGGCCTTGCTAAAATCAAACCAGGCGGTGTAGTGTCCCACTCGGTCCATCCTGGCTTTCTGGGTGCATGCCTTATCAATGAGCAGTCCATGCATTGTGCCCCAGACCCCTGTCCTGGCTAGTTGTTCCGGTGGGATAGCCCAGTTTGGGAGGCACTGTTTGATGATCTCTGTAATGACACCAGTTAAGATTTTATAGTCCCGAGAAAAAATGTTTCTATATAATCATATATAATTGTATATGATCATATATGATTATATATGGAATCACATATATAATTATATAGAATTATATATAATCATATATAATTACATATAATCATACATGATTATATATGAAATTGTATATGAGGTTATTTATAATCATATATAATTATATATGACTATATATAGAGCAATGTACAGCCAAGCAAGATTATATATAATCATACAT